TATTTATTGAACAGGCATGAGGCTGTCTTAAACCCTTTGGGAGACTGTTTTTACATATTCCTGCAACTGACTTCTTTACACAACATTTTTCTCAAACTTTCTTTTTTTAGTTTTCAGGGGACAACCCAAATTATTCTATGATTCTATGAAAAAGCTGAACCCAGTTAATGAAGAGCTGTCTTTCTGATTCCCCTAAAACAATAACTGAAACAGAGAGGTGAATGATTTGATTCATTTTTACAGGTCATTAACTTCCACGCCTAGAGACGACAGTGTTAGTACTCACAATGTCAATTATTTCTTTGCTGATTAGTTTAGTTTAGTCATTGCATGACCTAGCACTGGACTGGTCACCCCTTTGGGTTCCTTTAAAATCCAGATGTCCCTGCTGCCCAAACATAAAGGTCTCTCTTAGCTTAAACAACATCATTGAGTTTTTACTGTCGTTATATGTGTATATGTGGTTATATGTATATACGTATATATGAGGTTATATGTAAGGTTATATGTATGTATGTGGTTAGATACAGGGCATGGACTGGTGAATTTATTTGCACCTTCATATAAATTTAATTAACTAAAAAATGCCAAGTATTTGGGCTTTGTCTTTAGGATGTTGTCTCAAACCTCCCAGCCCATTAGACGTAAGTAGTTCAGAATTCAGTGATCTGATTGCAGAGTTCAGAGATTATTAGAGTGAATGGGGCCTGATCAATGCCTTGGGTCTTTCTTTTTTTTTTAATGTGTTAATTAATTAATCAACAGGAGCAGAAATATATGTGTAATTCAAATTAAGTCAGTCTCAAGTTACCAGAATTGTTCATAAGCAGAAAAGGGGAATCCAAAACCAGCAGGATATTGGTAGTTTTATCTTTGTAGCACCACTTTCTTAGGTTATATCCTGAGCTAGACGTATTTGAAGGATTGATATTATTGTTTCTGCTGTGCTCTTCTGGGAAAAAGAATCAGCTTTTGAGGCAAAAGAAGAAATTCAGTGACTGAAATATTCATGATTCACAGTTGGCCCTTGATTCCGTTTGTTCTCACTCTCTTCATTTGCATTAACTCCCCAAACCAAGGCATTTTGCTGTAATCTAAACTAAATACAATTTCCCTAATCCCCAAGTGTACATTAATTTGCAAGATTTCCCCACAAAACAAATTAATTTTCTATGGGCTTTCTGTTTACCTTTGCCAATGATTGTTTTTAGTAATTCTTCCTATAGCTTTGTCTTTTAGTGTGGTCAGATATAAGCTTTACACTCCCCTAGTTGTTCTTTATTAAAAGTCTTCTAGCTTTGGTCTTCAGAGTCCGTGAAAGCTTTGTGCTATTTTTCCAAAAGACTATTTATTGCTTCCATCACACAGGGAGTTAAGACACTTGTTTTGTTTTGGAGTTTGGGGACATTAGGGACATATTCCTGTATGTGGACTTCGACTGCAAATGAGGACCAGACCAACACATCAGTCAGGTCATCTCTCTGTAGCAGCTGGCTTTTTTTAGAAATAAAAAAGTTTTTATGTTGAAAACTTGAATTGCTTCCTGTCAGACTTCTTGCTTCAGTTCCATTGTGATGTTTTATGCACACAATTTTTGTAAACAATAAAAAGGTTTTGTGCATAGTGAGGATAGAAAGAAAGCTAGTGTTTCAGAAAAGGAATCATGAGTACCAGCATTTGGCCAGACAATTCCTACAAACAGGGGAAATCGATATTCAATTAAAACACCAGAAGATGATCTGTCTCAAACCCCATAGGCTGGAGCACTATGGATATTTCAGATGCCCTGACTTTCCCTGTTGTTTTGAGGACAGCGGTAACAATTGGACAGCCACCAGAATTGCTCGTCTGAGCAGAAGAACCTGTGATACTATGTAAAACTCACTTCTAAGACCATAGGAGGTGAAGTTGGCTAAGCCCAGCCAGTAGATCCTGTGCTAACTCTCTCCCTGTTTAGCTTCTGTAGATGTGGCAGGAGGCTGAAGAGGAAGGTGACGGTAAGGCAAGTTCTATGTAGGTATTTCACACTCATCTCAGAGAAAATTTTCTTTTCTGTCACTTGTGTGATTTTATTCTGTATGTTCATAGACAGATTCCTTGAATCATCACATAAGTTATAAATTCCATCTTCTTTCCATGAACTGTGAGTCTCCTTGTGTCTGGGGCTGTCATGTGCTAACAAGAGACAGGAGAGGTGCCAGTGTGTCAGTCATTACAGACTCTCTCCATCTAGCTTGCTTTGAGCTAGGAGAGGCAAAGGGAGTGGGATGTTAAATAAAGATACTGTATCCCTCTCAGGAGCAACCAAGACAAAGCAGCCAGGTGGTAATGTTTGAATTTGAGCTGAGAAGAAATTTTGGAAGCAGAAGGAGCTTGGTCAGGAAAGATAAAGTGATGCACAGGCACAGGGTCCTGTGACACGGAGGCAGGAGGGAGGCAGTGGGAACTGCCATTGGAAGGAGCAGCTGTCTGTTGGCAGGGCACAAGAGGGGAAGGTCCCTGACGACTGAAGGGGATCTTACAAAGTCTCAAGGAAAATTCAAGAGTGAGGAAATGTAGGCAGAGGGAAGCACATGTCTTTACTATTCCATATGTATCTCTTAAGGTCATTAAAGTGAAGAGTGGCTGCTTTTGAGACAGTTTGCAAAGCCTGTGCATTACCTGATTCAACTTTGTGGGATCCTAGAAAGATAAATTGTTACTCAGATGTCGACTACAACTGAGCTCTGGGAAATGAATCAAAGCCGTGGGGATTCGGCTGCAGTCACGGGTTCTAAACAGGGGTCTCTGTTCTTAGGAGACAGGAGAGAGTGGCTGGAGACCCAAAGCAGGTACGAGGACTTCAGAGTGTGTTTGCATGGGAGCAGACTGAGGCTTTGCGAGTGTTTCACAAGAAGTATAATCTATACTATAGTATCTCAGTCTTTGAATTCTTACCTGTGGTAAAATGAGAGAGACTGGAAGAAAAACAGAACACACATGTAGTAAGATAACAAACAGTGCCGTCGGTGGCTCCAAGCGTTGCCTGGCATAGACGCATACACAAGCCAGCCATGAAATGGAAATCACACCATGTGCATCTTATTGTAATTTGCACTGAACCCCAAAATAATAATCCCTGACAACAGGCAGGCTGTTAGCTCAGGCTTAGTGCCATACTGCTGTAGCTACACAGCTTCTGACTGCTTTGGAGCATGGGAAACGGAAACGGTCACTTGCGGCACGGCCAAAGTAGCTCACAGTTGACAAACGACTGTGAGTACCCTGTGCTCGCAGAAGTAAGGTCAGGTTGCCAGCACTTAAATCATTGACTTTGCCTGTTTTCTCATGCTGGATGATGTGACAGCGCTGGCCTGTGTGTGTGAATATCTTTCTGAGATGAAGTCAAAGCACAACTCCTCTGAGGCAATTCAAACGGAGTGAAACGCTCAAGGGGATAATACAGAGCAAACTGATGTAAATTTGCATAAATTGCAATTTTTTGTAATTTGTTTTGGGAGTGAAGGGAGTGTACTTTGCTGTTTGGTTTTTGGTTTGCATAAAATCAGAAAATGTTCTGAAATGTTTTCATCTGAAAATATAAATTAACTGTTGAGGGGGAGGTGAAGCTTTTGCAATTAAGGGAAAATATTATAATAGGAAAATTAGGCATTATTTTGATGTCCATGTTCCAAATTTATTAGGCCTGAAAAAAGATGAACTGAGGAGATTGCTTTGTATGATTTCTACATATGTAAATGGACATATAATTATCTATCAATATAAAATATTAGTGCATATTTACTGTATAATCATTAATTCAACTTTATAAGCAGATGAAGATTACCTCAAATTTACATACAATGTGAAGAAAAGTCCCTTTATCCCCTGTAACTGCAGCATTTGGCAGATTCAGAAATAAATAATCTTTTGTGGCACGGGTATGCCTTATCAAACATATGCAGATCAGTGCTAATTAATGCTAATTAAGGTTTCCTGTCTATCTAGTTGGAAAAACGTCCAAATGTTATGAAATCCAGTTAGTATGCCTATTACCCTAATTGTTTTATATGGGATGGTTCTTAATTAAAATATGTAAATTGACCTTAATTGCTATATACTAATGGAGGTTCATGTTATCTCACTAAAAATGACAAGATGGTGAGGAGGGGTACTTAAACAAATAATTCTGATACATTTGTAAATAAATGACCTTTACTCAAAATATTTTTAATTGGAAATTGGCAAAAGGAACATTTTGCCATCTATGTTACGCTTTAGTTTTAAATAATGTCAGAACTTACAATTCTTTGTTAATATAGATGCGGTGACACTGCAGCTTAATTAAGACTACTAAACAAGTCAACATTTTGTGTGTTTACTGTGCGTTTCAAAATTGTTTGCTAACAATTTTTTTCCTAACCTCGTGTTGACCTTCAGAAATGTTATGCTTTCCAATATTGATCTTGATTTTCACTATTTTCGGGTTTGGGGTTTGGTTTTGGTGTCTTTTACTTGTATCATTTCATTTGTGAAGTTTCGTACACTGGCACACTTCTTGCTAGTGACTGGACCCGTGACCCTGGCTTTTCTTCAGAGAGGCTGGTGAGCAGCACTGGCATGGACTTTGGTCGTTTTTGGGGAGGGTAGTAACATGTGTGCTGTTACATGATTGAGGCCCACACAGGTTTTTCCACAAACTCTTGTATGCTTTCTACCCAACATAAAAGCATTATTTAAATGATTTTTTGTTTGGCAGTTTATAGGTGCTCCACACTGGCATCTTCTTGATAGTTTTCATACCATTTCACACACAGAGCAAACGTTTTTCTCCTCTGATGTAGAATCTTTTAGTTTAGAGAACTGGCCTATAATTGTGTGTATATATACAAATATATACACTATATATAACAGTACATTTTAAAAACATACAATATGTTTAAGTTTATATCATGCTGTAGACATAATTGATACATGCTTCGCTTTGCCAACCCAATCTGAAAGGTTTCATTGTTTTGCAGGATATTGTGACCAATGTGTCTCCGAGGATTGTGCGTGGAATTACTTCAGGTCCTATGTACGGCCCAGGCCAAGGCTCTTTTCTAAACATTGAACTGATCAGCGAAAAAACAGCAGCATATTGGTGTAGAAGTATTGGTGAGCTGAAGGCTGACTTTCCAAACCATGTAAGTACTGCGTGGTCATAAAGATGCAACATACTTGTTTAGAATCTCCAGTTTATAAATCAATGAAAACTCACCTTTTTAACATTAAATAGGATGCCTGTTGCTTTATTGACATGCAAGTATGTTATTAAAAGCTAGAAAAGCCCATCCAAATAATTTTTATGACAAGAAATTCTGTGAAGGAGTTGATCCCAGTGTGGATGCTGCTTAGTTCTGCTGGGAATAATTTTGTATTTAAGGATGTAACTTATAATCATCATTTTTGTTGCAACTTGAATTTGATTATGAGAGGAATCTTTATTCTTTTTGTTGTTAATTCAAATGTGAATTTGATTCTAATATTTTTATAAGCAATTGACTGCTTTAGGAGAAAAAACCCAGTACTGATTTAAGTTAACCACTTCAAGGACAGAGTCTTCTTGGCTATGGGGCATATCTGTCACTGTTCTGGTGAATAAGGACAGTAACATGGAAAGTAAAATTCACCTCAATCATTATCTCAAATGGATATAGCTAGAAATCCCAGAGCCTACATATCTGGTCTCTTTAAGTAATTCCTCAAGTGATTCAGCTTGAACAAAATAAGTGGTTGTTCCTGATTATGTCATGAAGACAATCAGTTGGTTTTTTTCTTATTCCTGGAATTTAAATGTACATATCAGCAAGTATAAAAATATTTAAACACATTGTATTGATAGTAAAAGTTAAGTGCTACCTGTTTCGTATCCTACTTCACTGTGGATGGACTGTGTGTGTTTTTGCTGTGACTGAGCTTCATAATAGTGAAAGTGTGAACTGAAAGGTAGTACTATAATTCTCTGATTTTGATTTTAATATTACACAGAATCACAGACTGTCAGGGGTTGGAAGGGACCTCGAAGGATCATCTAGTCCAACCCCCCTGCCAGAGCAGGATCACCTACAGTGGGTCACGCAGGAACATGTCCAGGCATATCAAAATCCTAGATACTGCATGCAGGCACACTGTTGGCTGTTCCTGCTATTCTCGCAGCAGAAATGGTCTCCCATTGCAGTCTTCATCAAAAATTTATCAGAGCATTTTGTGCATGAGACCAAACTGTCCTCAGCTGTGAGGAAAAGCACTAGCAACAATTTTAGAAGGAAAATTTGAACTTTCTGAGACCTATCCTCTTGTGTGGGATGAGGAAGTCCTGCTTTTCTATAGTTCCCAGGGTGAGCATCTTCTGATCATCCCCCTCTATGTGAGTTATTACTTTGAGAATGTAAATTCAGCTCCTGCATGTTGCTGTGGCTGCTGCTGTGGAATCTTTGAGGTTGATAACACCTGCGTGGGCTTAGGGGAAGCAGCACCCAGCAGTAGACCTTGGCTTTGCTCACAGGGATTTCTAAAATGTTCCTGTGAACTCATCTAAGAACTGTCATAATTATAACGGTAAATTTGTTGCTAACTGAAACCAGATTTTTGTTCACTGAGTAGAAATCTCTTGGTGGTTATTTTGAAATATTCTGTATAATTAGAGCTTGCAGAATTTCCCCTCCCCCCAATTACTGTTCACTCCTCTAGAAAGGCTTTTTAAACTAGATGTTTTAGTGGGATTTTTTTTATTAAAACCAAAACCAATTTCTGTGAACTGCTTGGGTAAGCTTAATTAACAAGCAAAGAATGACATTTTCTGCTCAGATGAAAGCCAGAGATGAGGACATAAGTGATTACAGTAAAAAAAATCTACCTTGCTACTGTAAATATATTTTTTAAAAATCAAAATTTATACATAATTACTTTTGCAATGCAATACAAGTAATTTAAGGTAAGATTTATCTTACAGATCAAAAGATATGTGTAAAATAGCTAACTCACTGGAAGGTGATGCCACAACAGCATCCTATCTCATGCCATTAGGAAAAAGTGAACCGAAAACAGAAAGAGCGGCTGAAGTCCTCCAGTAAAGCCCAGGATTTAAACTGAATTTTGCAAGGGGTTGTGCAAAAGAGGACTACCAGGCCAAGCTGAGTGGATAATGTCACCTAACTGTGACATGTTGCCTCTATAGATCAGGAACTAGCATCTCTGTTGCGCTGCCTTCACCCCTGTAATGGGTGGCCTCATTTTTTTGGCTCTTATGACTCTTGATTCTTGCTTGTAGCTTGCAATTATCTCTGACTGACAGTCTTTCCCAGTTTTCTCTTCTATTAGCTTCTCCTTTTGACCCTGAATCCACTTCTAATGGGTTATGGCAAAAGCTACCACCAGCAGAAACTTGTTTCAGTGCCACCAGCAGTGAATTAAATGTTTGTAAGGGTCCAAGCAAAGGAAGAAGCAGAAAGTATCTGAATTTAGTGTGTTTGCTTGTGAAGTATCATCAAAAGCTTTGCTGATTCAATTTGAGATTTTTGTGAGTTAATATCAGTGTTACTGGGATTTTTTTGAGAAAACACACACACAAAAAGAAATTAGATGGTATGCACAGTACAGGTCCAAGATGATTTTTTTTTTCTTTTTTTTCCAATCAGATACTTCTCTGTTAAAATAAATTGCAGTTAAAAATGGAATTGTTTTCTTTCTGGTACTTCAGTCATCTCTATGAAGTATTAATGCAGCAACTTGGCTGACACCATTTAAAACATATGGTATTATTCAGCATTGTTTATTGTTAATTTTTCACAGTTTTAAAAATACTGTGTCCAGTGCTTTCCTGTATACCAAGAAAAGAACCTTTCAGTCAGAGAGCTGTGAGTGTGAAAAGAAAATTGGTCTGTTCATGTTTGTCATCTTTGTACTTTCCCAGATACTGTAGTTTTATTTATTTATATTGGCCTGTCTTTATAATATGCAAACATCTTCCTTACATGGTTAACTAAGGCTTTTTTATGAGAATCTATTAAGTATTTATATTTTTCTGTCTTATGGCCACACATAGTATCTGATACCATGGGATTTATCATTCTGTGCAATTATTTGTGAGGCGAAAATGGATTATTTTTTTTCTTTAGTAGTAGAGACTGAGAACTTGACAGTGAGAAAAGATGGAACAATTATTTTATTTATTTGTTAATCCTAAATATAATAATAAAATTCTGAATTAGTATAAAGCTGATACCTTATTGTCTAATTTTGTATTCCTACTCCCCAAACAAAGCTTGTTTGTAAAGTGCTGTATTAATCTAAGAATCAAGAAAAAAGTCAAAGAAAAATATCAATAGTGTTGAGCCAAGCGCTGCTCCTGTGTAATACAAATATTATCTCGATATCATAATGTTGAATAGAAAAACTCTCCCTTTCTATGTCCTGCCTAGCTGGTTTGAAATGGCAGAGGAGAGATTTGCAGGTGACAAGTGAAGGCTTAGCTGCTCACCGGAGTCAACCCACTGCAGATGGAAAATGCAGGACATTGTCAGTTCATGTTAAATAGACTGTAATTAGGACATGCAATATTTGAAATGGTTTAGATAGGGAGGCAAAAGAACTCACACTAATGCCACATGTCTGATTTTTGCATTTTATCTACCAAAGAGAGGGCAAGGTTTGAAAGTGGTAAAACACTTCTCTGTAGAAGAATGCGAACTGAAGTTTCAGTAAGAAGGTGATGGGCACAATTGCCAGGTAGTCTTTCTCCCACTTCCCAAAACTGTAATTAGTGCCCTGTAGATAATAAAAACCCAAGGAAATTAATGAAAAACTTAGCGTACAAATTAGTTTGCGTCTGAGCATGTGCAGGATATCACAGCAGTACAGATAAAGGATTTGAAAGGATACTTAATGAAGCAAAATAAATAGCAAGGGAAGTGTCATTCCCTGCAGGGTTAACAGAAGTCTGTCACAAACAAGCAAATGTCTGAGAAATTCATATTGCAAGGAAGAACTGCGATCTTGGAAGATGATACCAAACTGAAAATTTTTCAATATTGCTATATTAGTATACTGAAGTCTTAGAAGTAACTTTTTGGCCTCCTAACTGAACACAGCTGAGTTTGGGCTGCTGTATGACTCTAACGAACATGCACAGGGTACCAGATTGTCAGCTATGACACTGATTCTGTGGTTCAGATATCAGTGTCATGATGTGTTGGATTGAGAAATCTCTTCCTCTAGAAACATTAAGTACTTTTGGACCCCAAAACAAAGCTGAAAACTCTTGTCATCTTAATGTTTGTTCTGCTGCTTGCAGAATGTTGCTGACAGTCTCTCTGACAGTTACTCAGCAGAGAGCAGCTTTCCAAGGATGAAACTGTTAAAGATATATTTTTGTTCAACATTTTGTTCAGAGTGTCCCAGGAGCACCTGTCAGGAGTAGCCATGCTAGGGAGCACGTGAGAACAGATTGCTGGATCTCATTCTGATAACCAGCTTCTTTGTAGTGGTCTTTTTTGTTTGTTTTCTGCGGTTTTCTGTTGTTGGGTTTTGTGTTTTTTTTGGGGGGGAGGCATACGTTTATATCTCTTGGAATAGTGTAATTAGCTTTTTATGTTATGCAACTTTTCCTACTGTAGATGTATGAAATAGGGCAGGCAGTTTTGTTTGGTTTTGTTGTTTGGAGTTTTTTTGGTTGTTTTTTTTCGGGGTTTGTTTTTTTTTTCAGTCTTTATGTTTTAACGGGCTCTTCTCCTGAGCAACTAGTGACAGAATGAGAGGGCATGGTCTGAAACTGGGTCAGGGAAGGTTTAGGTTAGATATCAAGAAACCCTTCCTCACACAGAGGGTGACTGGATTTTAGGCACTTAAGTGGACTTCCTCCGCAGAGATATCATAGACTTCACAGCTTTATTCTGAGCAGAAGGTCAAAGTTGGCTTTCTCACTAGATGTTAGGAATAATTTGTGTATTTTTGCAGGCATTATTACAGCTTTTACTTTTGATGAGTGTTCAGAGATCAGTGGGGTGTTGTGTATAGTACATAGTATTTACATTTCAAGATACCAAGTCGCTGACTTGACTCATGTTATAAAACGTAAGAGTGTTTTACCATTTGGGTTTTAAATTTGGAATACTTGGAAATTTGGAATGTAGAATACATGTAATTA